CCTTCCGTGATAGGAATTTTGAAAATTTTTTTCAAAATCGGAAAGGGCATACCCGAAAACCTAATTAAAAACGTGTCACTCATCTTTGTAACTGTTGTGTAGTGATTGTTTCAGGTACGGTGAAAATTTTTTTGCGGTTTTAGGTCACTAAGTAGGTCTATTTTAAGAATCCGCCCAAAAATGTCTACAAAAAATACAAAAATTAAATTTTTTAAAAATATGGGCATGTAGCACATCGATTTTAGGGTTTTGAAGTTTTCTGAATTTAAATTTTTAGTTAAAAATGTTTTTGGGGGCATTTTGGAGGAGTGGGGGTGTTTTTAAGGGGTGGGTTTTTATATTTTTTCAATATTAACGTGTCGTACATCGATTTATATGTTTTTATGGATAAGGATCCCGAATTCCATATCAAAATGGAGGTACAGCAAGTTATTCAATGTTAAAAAAGTAGAACGACGCCGACAGACGGCCCGAAAATAACATAAAACGCGCGGTACGCCTCGCCCGCGCTGCACGACATCATTTTAATAAAAAGATAATAATTTTGACGCTATCTTGTATATCTTTCTAGGATTTATTCAAAAATCATACTTTGACATCAAAATTGTAATCTCCACCCCAAGAAACCTATAAAAAGACGTATTGCACTTGTTATAATTATTATCTTTTTATTAAAATGATGTCGTGCAGCGCGGGCGAGGCGTACCGTGCGTTTTATGTTATTTTCGGACCGTCTGTCGGCGTCGTTCTACTTTTTTAACATTGAATAACTTGCTGTACCTCCATTTTGATATGGAATTCGGGATCCTTACCCATAAAAACATATAAATCGATGTACGACAAGTACAAGTTGAAAAAATATAAAAACCAACCCCTTAAAAACACCACCCCAATCCGCCAAAACGCCTCCAAAAATATTTTTAACTAAAAATTTAAATTCAGAAGGTTTAAAAACCCTAAAATCGATGTGCTATATGCCCATATTTTTTAAAACTTTAATTTTTGTATTTTTTTGGCCGCCATCTTGAATTTCTCAAAATGCTCAAGGGTGTCAAGGTGGCATTCTCAAAGTAGACATCCTTACGAACAAAAAACCGTCAAAAAACCTTCACCGTACCTCACTTCCAGGTTAAGCCAAAAATCCCAGTTTGGCATCCAGACTATTAGGGAAGCGATTGAAGAATGAAAGGACACGTCACGGAGAACGGCAGCGACCGCGCGGTACGGCAATAGTGCTGTCGCTTGTTTACTTACATGTTTTCTATAATATTAATAATTATGTTTGTGTGCCAATTAATATAGTTTGCGTTGAGCGGTTTGTTGCTGCCCTTTCTTCCAGTAAGACAACACAAAAGTAACTGGTGATTGCTGAGAAAAAATTAAAGAACTCCAAATTTCACCACTTCTTTGGGGAGTGGCTCCCAAACGAAACACGTTTGACCCTCGGTTTATTTGAAAAAAAGTGCTTATCTTGAACCCCTCGGCCCTCTATCACCCAATTTTCACCCTGTATAACCAACTTTAAATGACATCCTTACCTTTCCATGTCTATATATATTAGAAGTTTTAGTTTTTGTTAAGATGAATTCAGATATTTTCAATCGTCTGAACGTTAATCATCAATACAACACAAGGTATGGTCATAAGCTGCAGTATGAAAGACATAATCTGAAAAAGTATAAACAAGTATAAATTGTGCACAACTCTTGTACAGATAAAGCGCATTTTTTTAACCGAAATAGCTTTTGTTTTGACATCACTAATTGATATATTTCTTGCAGACGTCTCAATCGCCCTTTGTGAGTACCACGAACTTATAAATTAAGATGGACTGTTATTGCTGAATTGACAAATGACACCTACATGGGGGCCGCCATGATGTGCACTCACATGGCGCGAAATTCAAATCAACTAATAAACAAGCATTAACCCAACATTAACCTCACATTTTCTAAATAAATTACTGTGACACATGTCATTTTCCAAGGCTGCAATAGGCTCAAAACTTGAGCACTAGGAAAATTCCCCTAGAAAATAACTAGAATGTGCACATCATGGCGGAGCCCATGCTAGGGCCATTTCTACCTCTATGCAACTGTTTGATCAGCGGTCCATCTTAATTTATAAGTTCGTGTGAGTACCGTCTTCCCACAATCCGATCTTGAGGTATAAGGGAATATACCTGATCACGATAAGAGGTTGAGGAGGAGGGCTATGGTTGGTAGAAATTAATTCCTTTCGTTGAGACTCTTTTCATTAGAGTATCATGATGAAGGATAAAACCAGTTCCACCCCCCACCCCCCACCCTCTCATCTCGAAAATGAGTCGAAAAGCTATAGTTTGTACAAATCAGTTTCTTTTGATGAGACCTAAGCGTTCACTTAGCCCCAGGCTTAGCCCCCCATTTGATTTTTCCTATTATGTATCTCCGAAACCAAAAAGGCACAAACGATGAGTATGAAAGCACGATTAAACACAATCGAAGTACTACGCAATACCGTCGATGAACTGTCAAAAAGTTTAATTTTTGGGAGGGCTAAGCGTTCACTTAGCCCCCATTTGATTTTTTCGATTATCTCCAAAACCAAAAAAGCACAAACGGTGCGCATAAATGCACAATTGATGCACAATACATAAAAAAAATTGGTTCATTTTTGGGCTAATGGGGGGCTAAGTGAACGGGCCCTATGATAAATGTATGTTCTCTTGATTTATTTTTTGACGGTAAAAAACATTCCATTGAATGCGATTGACGACTGCGTCTTTTCTCTTGCTATGGAAATTCATAATAGCTTTGAAATTTCTTATTCGATCCGTAAACTGAGGCCGTTCTCTGCATACGACTAGGAAAGCGCTTCAATAGAAATTATATGGGTCGAATAGCGTGTCTAGGTGTGGGACTTATAACATTTTGAGTAAATTGGATTCTATACCGTGTTGTTAGGTGCCGATGTAAAGATAAAGGACACATCTATGCCTCTATTGTAACAGATTTTTGATTTAATACTCGAATTTTGCATAAATAATTGTAGAAGTACTTGATATTTATGGTATTTTCAGGTGCCGTAATTATTAATATTTAAAAAATATCAAAAATATGTTACAAGAGAGACGTAGAAAAAGGTTTAGAAGCAAACGTGCCGGCATGGCGTTTTCGAGTCTTCGTTTCGTAAAAGTGCAATACAATTTCTTTCATGAAGCCGATTTAAAAAACCTTTCATTTCACATCATAATAGATTTATATTGCACTTCTCTCATTTGAATTTTAAAGTTGTTGTTTAAAGTACCTAGTACTTAATTCCAAATTTTGTCTCAAAAACATGTTATTTGTGCATTTATATACGGAAACAGCAATTAAACAATATCTGTAAATGCTCGCACAACTGAGACTGACAGTATATTGCATATTCTGAAATATCCCAAAACATTGTCTATAGGTACAATAATAGTAAAGTTTAATTTCGATCTTAAAGTCTACATAAGGTAAGATCGTTGGAATCAAGATTTACTTGTAAGTTGATAACTTTGACGTCATTTCCTAAGAGGTGTGCAAATAATAACATGTATTACGTAAGCATAAGTTTGTAAATACAGAGATAATATTGCAATACGATCTTCACCTGCTGCTATAACTCCCACGCAGTCTACGAGATAAGTACGCGAAAGTAGCGTCATCTAAAGAAATCTAATCACTTTGATTCAGTTGAGTAGGTGGTATAAAACCTCGATTAAAATTTAGTTACTTTTGATAGTTATAAATTCAATGCTTTTAATAAGCGGAGTTTGTCCCAGAGGGCAACCTACGGAGAAACTCCGTTAAAGTGGACCCTTCAAAAAGCATTGCGTTGTCTTTCTATTCAGATTTATTATTCAATGGTTATACTTAAGATGAAATTGGATCTGGTCCTTCAACTGGTACCATAAATTAAAATAGCCATGAACGTGACATTAAAACTGGAAAACCCTAAAAGAAATTAAATGTAACCCTCGTCGTTGATAACCTTAAAATGTACATACCTCTTTCAATAAGAGAGCTAAGTATAGAAACGTGAACATGCAACAATCGTCGATTGAAAATCGTATTAATTATCAGCCGGAGCCTAACGTCAAGCAGATTAAATGCAAATGGCGTACTTACAATGAAGAAGAATAACGCAACTATATCCTCCTACTGGAGTGAAGGGGTGAAATTCTATTCACAAATTGATGCGGAATCCCCCAATTAACCAAATTTAATCGGCAATATGAGAGGCGCCAATTAAAATCCTATGCGTTTTGCTGTGTAATTAAAAATCAAGTGCACGCTGACGAACGAATGAATGTTAACCATCGATATTGCATCTGCATCGCCGTAAAATTTCGCGCTAGAAGTTGCGTGTTTAAAATTCCAAGGTTACAACTGTTACGAGGATCATTCAACAAGTAAAGTTACCGGGAACAATAATAATGCTTCTGATGAAGAAAATAAATGGTATACCATTACTTTACTTGTTGAATGATCCTCGTAACAGTTGTAACCTTGGAATTTTAAACACGCAACTTCTAGCGCGAAATTTTACGGCGATGCAGATGCAATATCGATGGTTAACATTCATTCGTTCGTCAGCGTGCACTTGATTTTTAATTACGTTTTTGCCATAGGCATTGGATTTGAATAAGAATTCCGGTTAATTCTGGAAGTTTGAATGGGCGATAGATCGATCGTAATTTCACATATAAAATTATATTTGACAAAATTTTCGTACCTCGCCAAATAAGGTGCCCCCCTTATCTCAAACGCACTGTATAGTACTAGTAAGCCGGATAGGCGCCACTCAGGGTTGAATAAATTTAAAAAGAGAAAAGAGAATAAATACTTTCCGAAAAGCAGACTAAGAGATCCTTGTTCTGGTCTTGATAAGCTGTAGAAATAAAGTAATTAACAGGATTGAACATAAATAAGAATTTATTATAGTTACAATCGAGGGTGATGTAATAAATAATCTCTAAATATTACAAATAGGACACTGTTAATATCCAGTTCTGAAAATTGGTCAATATTTGAATTTAAATCAATTCTAAGCAAAAAGCGGATTACCTCTTAGCCAGGGAAAGTATTAAAATTACAACAGGCTTCCGCAGAAAATAAATATGACTATCAAACACATATATTAATTAATTGTATCGAAAACCGGTATCAAACTTTATATAAAGAAGTAGACGAAAATAAAAAAAAATACCTTTTGCACTCTGGTTCTAGCGGCCTTTTGAACTCAGAAGGTCGCTTTTTTGCCTTCTCTGTAACAGATAATAACACAAACAAACAAGGGGGATAGTGAATAGCGCCGCACATAAATATTGCTGTAGCAATACCAAACGTTTGACACTCGGGTGATTCGTATACTAAAACCGTAATTAACACTCAATAAGAATCAATAATTCATATCAAGCAGACGGTTGCGGTTGGTTCTGATCCTTCGCGTCTATGACTCCACGTAAGAAAAGCTCATCTTCCAAAAAAATGGTTGCTATAAATGTTAGTAGTTTTTTGGTATCTTTTCAAATAGGTTCAGAAACAAATAAACACGTATATGGTCAATTTCGAACATTTTGGAAAGAGATCCGAATTTCCGAATTTTTAAAACATCATTTTACTAAGCCCTAAAATACGCAACTTTTTATCTAATTTAACGGACTGTGTATCTCTTATGGTTTCCGGTTTCTCCACGCTGATGTTCATTCTTATTTTGGACGCACTGTCCTCTGAAACAGCTGGCGTGTCCAAGCGTTAATGGTACATTCAAAATTTTTATACAGGGTGTCATGTAGCAGTAACCGCTATCAACTTTCTTATTTTAATGGCAACACCCTTTATATTGTAGACATTATTAATTGATGCACATTTCTAGATAGTTGTGGAGTGGGAGATTAGTTGCTGCCAATGAATGACACTGTTAGTAATCGTTTTATACTTTAAATATAAGTAACAAAAGTATATACCTTAATTCAAACTAAGTTATGCATGACTCATCGCCTTTTATCACGATTTGTATAATCAAAGGATTTCGAACTTTTTAAATATCGATTAAAAGTATAAGATATTGAAAACAGTTCACGTGGAAAATACGAGTTCATGTTCAAGTGACGAACTGCTCACAATTTAATTTAAAAGTTACACTTTACACCAAATAATACTATGGCCTATAACGCTTTATGCAATCTCCAGTAAAGCTGCTCATGGCCTCCTCGTAAAACTCATCATTCGATCTTGGAATGCACTTGTCGACGTCGTGCTTTGGAATGGCACAGGACAAATCAGTGTTATTACACTTCCACCTAATGTTAATATTGTAGTTGGCGCCCCATTCTATGAAACTATCCAAGCAAGGGCACTGCCACGGATTCGCAAAGATCCAAATGCTTTTGAGGCAATGTTGCAAATCACTGAACATTTTATCTGGAAGATAATTGAGCGCGTTCTTACTGAAATCTATATGCCGAAGGTTCGGCGTTACCGTAAAATCCACCTCGATCTCTTTCAAACGATTTTCTTCCAAAGAGAGCTCTAGTAAATTGTCGAGGCCCATAAACGCATCGCTGTGAACGTGGTTAATTTTGTTACCCGCCATTGTTAAGTACTGCAAAGCCGGAAACGAGACAAAAGCGGCTCTTTGGATAGCGCTAATTAAGTTATTGTTAATGAACAGTGTCTGCAACTCAGGAGTGTTGAGGAACCAGTCTTGCTGAAAGCTCTTCAATTTGTTATCGTCCAAAGAGAGCATTGTGAAATTGGGAAGGTTGGCGAAAGCATGTTGCATTATTATCTCTATCTTGTTTTTCTCTAAGTTGATAACCTGTAAAGATGGTAGACTGTCGAAGGCGTTCGTCTCGATTGTGCGTATGTCATTTTGATCCATGTAGATGGTCTCCAAGGCGTCTAAATTTCGAAACGCATCCGACTTTATGGTCGAGATGTTGTTCATATTGAACCATAGTTGAAATTGTTCCGGTATGTTCTCAACGGCACCTTCATTCAAATCACCGAGGTTCTGGGCGATAACCTTAATCTCTTTCAGTGTGGTGGGGTTGTAGATTACGCGTTTGGGTGAAATGCATCCTGTCACAATTTGGTATTTTGATGATGTCACTTCTACCACGAGCACGGGATTTTTTCGAAACGTTATCACTTGGCACTGCTCGGCAACGTCGAAACCGAGGAAAACTTGCACAATGAACAGTATCTTTATGTACATTTTAGTTGTGAATAAACGTTGGCAGGAAATCCCAGTTCTTTTTACGGGTCAAGGCATATGAAGTTAACCTTGGAGACGGCGGGATTTTTTTTGGTGAATGGTCAAATCGCACAAAAAGTTATTAATCATGTGGTTAAACGGTTTATATCAACGAAAGTGCGCTGGGGTTGGGAAATCCATCTAGGGAATACTGTTGACAGAGTAATATATAAATAAATACTTCATACGCGTTACACAAATGAATGCAAAGATTAACCGAAGAGACCTTTGACACGATCTTAAACTGTTGCTGCAATCTTTTAGTGTTTTCCAGAAAAAAATAATTATATCTTTTTTATGCGTTAGTCTAATGTTTATAGGCATCCGCTGAAAAAATAGTATATTAAGATACAAGTGTATAATCAATTCCCAAACCAATTTTTTTTTTACAGTGGTTATGCAAGTTTATTAGGATGCCAAAAAACCATGACTGCCATCTCAAAGCTAATAGAAATGGCGGTCAATCAAAGATGGCGGATGTTGAATTTTGTGAAATCAACTTAGTTCTGAAATTATTATTTCATTATTCTTTATAGCTTCCTAGCTTGAGCTATGTGGCTATTGCGATCACATTTTTTTGGACAGGTTAAAATTTCATCAAATGTCGACGTTTTAGATCATTTTAAACAACTTTGCTTGGATATGTACCTATATTAGACATATTGACACGAAAAATAATGAACCGGATTTTTGAAAAAAAAATTTGTAGCACCGCAACGGCATCGAACTTTTTATTCAAATAGCAACCGAAAAATTTTTTAAGCTATTCGAAAGACCTTATTTTTCTGTGTACAACCTATAAAAATTGTGCCAGGTTTTATTACAAAAAAACTGAGAAAAAAAATGTCAAAATTTAAAAACTCAAATATTTTTTTATCGGCAAGACTAAATTAATTATAATTAGGAATTACAATTATTACCTATTAATAATCAATAGACAAACGAGCAAAATTTAAAAAAAAGAGATACAACGGCACGCGGTCACCCATCCGATCCGAGTACTAACCGCGCCCTAGATTGCTAAATTTCGGTGACCGGACGAGAACTGGTGTTTTCAACGTGCTATGGCTGTTGTCAAAAAAGTTACTCTTCTAAGGGAAACAATGTAGAATCTTTTTTTATACAAAAAGAGCACACAAAAAAAGATGCAAACGCCACGCGAATTTCGTATTTAGGAAAGAATGTACCATTAAAAATAACCTATTCCCGCGATCTAATTAGAATTATTAATTTAAGGGGTAAACTTTGTTTTTTATCCAAGTACAACAAGAAATTGTTTAACTGGATACACGAGACGAATTGGGATGTAGCCGAGGGCGTATAGGGTCTTTTCTTTTGGGCTACCAATTCCAGTAAAGTGTAGGGCAACTTAATTTTTTCAAAATAGAAACTTTGAATATTCTTATATCGCGTCGGAAAATAATAAACTTTCGTGGGAAACGTTTTTGTATAAAGTTATTATTTTTTGAAGACACCCTTCTAAAAGCGCTATGTTCAAATTGAGCTAGGAAGCTGTTCTGTCAAGAATTTGGCAACTGGTTTTTTAATGAAAGCTCTTTATATGTGCTCTAAATTTTGTTATAAGTACTTTTTCGATAAAATCAACTGTTATAATAAGAAATAAGTAAAATGTTTTTTTTTATTTTTTTCCCGATTTTTCTTTACTACCTGTATTAATACACAATAAATGGTAAAATATGCGCATATACCGGGTGGTGCACGGTAAGTAGGAACATAGGAATTTAACATGGGAAATTAGTTTTATGCAATATCCTGCCCTCCTGTACATTTTACAGAAAAAACTGTAGAGTTTAAAGTTGTTCAGAATTAATAGGTGCATACAACACTTTTTTTTACATGTTTTATTATGCTTTTCGTATACCCGCAAATTTAAAAATAAATTTCAACATTTCTGTTATTAGTAAGCAATTCATAAAACAAAAAAAATCCATGGCTATTGCAACTAATAGAAATGTTGAAATTTATTTTTAAATTTGCGGGTATATACCAAAAGTTTAATAAAACATGTAAAAACAGGTTTGTATGCACCTTTTAATTCTGAACAACTTTAAACTCTACAGTTTTTTTCTGTAAAATGTACAGGAGGGCAGGGTATTGCATAAAAACTAATTTCCCATGTTAAATCCCTATGTTCTTACTTACCGTGCAGTACCCGGTATATGCAGACTATTAGTGCAAAATATGCAAACAGTTTTGATCTTGGTTTTGATATATATGCACACATATGCAAAATTATATGTTGCATAATTTCTAATAAAAAAAGGAATTACAATAAACACTAGCAATATGATGTATCTCGAAGTTGTATGCAGGAAATGGTTGCCTCCTGTTGCTAAGAAGAAGTAATAGGTGCCTTAGAAAACGACAAAATATTGGGAGCCATTGCCAAACCTTCACCATTATCAACACCGTAGAGAAAGAGAAAGAGAAAATAGTTTGGAAATGAAGAAATTAAACATCAATTAAATCAATAAATTTTCCTTCCGGCTATTGCAGTATGCTTCATGAACGCGTGCGTTATGAAAATCCGCAAAAGTGCATTAAAAATTCAAATTAAAATCTATTAAATCGAGCAAAAAATACATCTTAAAATATACAAAATATGCAAGTTCATAATATAAGTGCAAAGAATATCAAAATATGCAAAAGTAAATTCGGTTTAATCGCTTCAAAATGTTGCAAATCGAATATGTACAAAATCTCATACACATAGATTCACAGACTCACAGATTTAGCTGATCAACAAAGTGAATTAAAATTAAAATTAAAAAAAGTTCTGCTAAACATCAAGAAGATGGTGAAAATATGCAAAAATATACGTAGCTATGTACCTATGATATGTGAAGACATTTTCTCCTTTTAGTGAATTGCACTCTCCAAAATACAGCCAATCTTAGGGCATTACAAGAATTTTCACCGTCTTACTAAACTAGGAGATATATTAATTATTTTATTTATTTTTTAATTTTTATTTGGGCCTTTATTTTTAAGTGGGCGAGGTTTCAGCCAAGGCTGTTCTACCAACCCAACCCACTACATTCATTGTAATTACAGATATAAAATTGGCTGTTTAATGGTGGAAAAATTTTCTTTAACGAGTTCTGCGAAAACCTTAAAGAAAGGCTTCACATAAGCGATGCCTGCTCAATAAACACAGCACTTCGACTAACTTCTTCGTAAAACGTGAAAAACGCTTCCGCTTAACTTAAAACCTCTCTAACTTTCTTTTACAAGATTTTTACTACTGACAAGACTGACTGTCTTGCAATAAATACGATCAAATACGGCTGACTGCCATATAGTAAAAGCCTCCATTTAACAAAAACAAACTTGACCAAAAAGCACCGATCAACAAATAAGGGTACAGCCTCAAGGTTTTCTACTTCGAAACTTATTTCTTACGTCGGTGAAGTTAATCATATAAGGAGAATCTACCAAGAAAAATTTTACCTATAACGTAAAGAAAGAGCTTGACTCATCTTTAAAGTTTGTTAATATTGATTCATTGCGCCAGATAATTTGACATAGATTATATGCGAAAACAAAAAAAACATTGGAAAATTGTACGTCAAAATCAAAGAGATCTTATTCCGGAAGCAGCAAAGCTAACAATTACAAAGCGCAAATTGCCAACTTGGGGAAACGTCACTGAAGGAGAGGAAGAAGTAGCAAATTTTAGTGTATATGAAACTTTTGAAAGTGACGAAGGGGTTGATTTAGTTTTTCATTAAATAGTCAAAAAAATTTCCGTTACATTTAATATACCACGTTTACTTCATGTATTAGTTATTAAGGATCCTCAGAACCTTTATAGTTTTGTATTGTCGTCCGTCCGTCCGTTCGTCCGTGTGCGCTCTAACTTTTTTAAAAGTGGCCGATTGTGTTGAATTTTGGTGTACGGGTACTTTGGACATTAAGGACGGACGCTATTTATTTTCAGGAAGTTGGTTCAACAAGAACAAAAGATATAGGACTTCTAGTGAATCGGGAACAGGAAAAACTGCGGGCTCAATATAATAGAAATCAACATATTTCATTCCCTAGGTCATGTATCGAGTTCGGACTAGATTATTCCCTATGACTCTTAGATGTGTAATAATTCAATATAACTCTTCTCTGTGGTCTAGGTCAAAAGTTTTAGAGCAAAATGTACCCAAAATTATTTTTTACACATGAATTTGGAGTTCTAAAAGCTTTCAAACGCATTATCCTGATTCTAAAAGAGTACACCACGTGTACATTTGATAACCGCATGTGTGTGATTCAAAGATGTTAAATTATTTTTCTGAGGCCACATGAATTTTGATCAACATATGTCAAAATCCTTATTTATGCACCAAGATCGTTGGGAAAAAGACCAAGAGCATTATCTCAATGATCAAAACATGAATTTGATGCCGACCATTTGGATTTTGATCAACACATGTCAAAATCGTTATTTATGCACTAAGACGTATATGAATCTGATGCATTTTTGTTAACTATAAAATGTATTTTGTAAGTTTAAAATAAATTGTCGATAAAAGTGATTGTAATACTGAGGATCCTTTGATATTTCGTTGTTTCGGTTTATTAGCGTTGATTTTATCGAAAAAGTAGTTATGACAATATTTGTAGCACACACACAGAGCTTTCATTTAAGAAAATAATGAAGTCGGACCAATAGTTCCAGAGATATAGTTGATTTTAGAAAACTCGACATCCGCCATCTTGGATTGGCCGCCGTTTCTATTAGCTACCACTTTGAGATGGCAATAGTTTTTTTACATTCTAATATGTGTATGGGTTTAACCGTGGTAAAAAGGAAAATTGATACCACTAGTTAAATATTATACTACAATATTATACTACAATTTCCTCAAATTTAGGCCGTTGGCCCATATACTATCTTATGTCATGATGGAGTTCAAATGGCAAACGAGCAATAGCAAAAATTGAAAGCTTTCCATGCACAAATATCAAACTGACACGAAAAGATCGCGCACTGCCTCTTTGCTCAAAGAATTCGACAATCAAGATTGACAATGGAAAAGTTGGTCTGGATCCCCTCTTGCTTTTACAGTGAATCTCGATTAGTAGAAATCTGATATGGATTTGAAGATTTATATTATGCAGTATGAATATTATCTCCCTAACCCCTGGCATTATTTAACGAAAGTGCAGAAAGTCAGTACCTACTATACTTACAAACTGTTTGAGGAAATTAATATTTTTAATTTAATAATACAACCGCATGGTTCACCTGGCTATTAGTATTCATATCGAAATTGTACGGTAGTCGGGGTAAACTGTTTACAGGAGGCAGGTTCACGGCATCAAATTGTCCTCCTTCTCCTAACGGTTAGATTCCTCCTCAACCAAGTTTCTTGGCTCTCCCATAGATATGTTTGCAAAATCGCAACGACCTACCTGAGATTCCATTTCGAAATGGGCTTTTGGGGTAACGAAGCCCTTTAATCCTGGAATATGGTCGGCTCCTGTGTCTTCAAGCTGTTGGTGATCTGGTTCGAAGGACCAATAAAAATTTCACATGCACACCATCGTTTTCCAATTCTAACCATTCTATTATTTTTGAAATATCAAACCGAAAAACAATCATTCCTTGACTATCTCACTTTATGGTGCCGCCGCCGACAATGATGAATATTCACCTTGTCCAAAACACCAACGGTTATCATATTATGAAAAATTCAATACTCTAAAGAGAACTGTCAAAAATGTGACTTTGGATTGAAACCTTAAGAAGCCAGTTGACCAAATACCCAGGATTTGGGTGGGATCTTGGGAGACCTCATAATAGTGCAACCCATCAAAACCCAGCAAAATAATTGATGAAAAATGCACCTCACATTTTAAAGTAAAAGTAATGCCACTCATGACAAAATCGGGTTGTGCAGAGACTAGTAGATAAAGGCTACTAAATAAACATAATGTAGGTCATTAAGTGAATGGCACTAAACTTCTAATTTTAAATGAGTAGTAGATAGATTCTTCTAATCCCAGATAACTTCGTGCTCAGTTTTAAAGTCCACAACATAAACAATTTGAATAATTAGGTAAATCCTGTACCGTTGCATACATAAACAACAATTTTCACTTTCTCTCTGCTCTTACAACTGTTTGTGTCATCATCCTCGAGCAGTTTTTCCAGTTTTGCGTCTAAATGATCACGACGAAATCTGGAAATGTTTTTCGAATGATGCGTTTATGATATCGCCAAATAAAAGTCAACAATACTGGCTGTGGGGAACAGTTCAAGGTTCACAAGTTTAAAAGTTGGTTCGTTAGTTAGTCGAGTCGCCATGCTTAAAACGTGTGTATTGCTGTTGATCACCTTTCAAAATTCGCTACAATGTGATACGCCGACGTTCGATAATACCATAGTGAGTGTCAACGATAACGAAGAAACGATAAGTGGTTGCATATCACCGGACACTCTAAAATTTAAAGGTGACATTATCAAAATATCGGCAATCAATCAGAATATACCCGACTTGAATGAAGGTGCCATACGTGATATTTCAAGCGCATTCGAAATAGTGCTCGCCCACAATAACATTGAGATTATAAGAGCAGAGGCGTTTTTAAACCTTCCGGAACTGCAAAGCATCGACCTCTCTGGAAACAAAATTAATTGGATCAGCGAGAATTCGTTCACAAATTTACCGTTCTTAACCAAAATCAATTTGATGAGCAACGAAGTTAGCGTCTCACCTCGAGCTTTTAACAACCTGCCGAAGTTGGAGGAGGTCAATTTCGCCGAAAACAAATTGGAGAGCTTCGACCAGGGTTGGTTCCGTCAAACTCCGAAGCTGTGGTGGCTGTGGTTCAGGGACAATCGCCTGCGAACGATCCCAAAGGCCGCCTTCATCAATTTGCCCAGCGTCAGGCAGATACATTTTGAAAATAACCAAATCGAGCGTATCGACAAGGACGCGTTTAAAGGGCTCAGAAACCTGCAGCGCATCTACTTCGCCCAGAATCAGTTGAAGTGCTTCGAGATCAACTTTCACACGCCGTCAAAGTTGGTTTATATGGGAGTTCAATTTAACAACATCACCTTCATATCGAGTAAAGTGTTAGAAACGATTCAGCCAAATCTGCTCAAGTTTTGGGTTACGGGAAACCCTTGGCAGTGCGCGTGTTTCGATAGGTTGATTGATTGGGGCATTAAGAATCATATAGACATCGCTTTTAAGTGTGTACAACAAGAGTCCGTGTGCGTTTATCCTAAGCAGAATCCGGACGAGTGCACTGAGCGTGATGATGAGGAATTCTATAATGAGTTTTCGAAAAACTTTGGCAGTGAATGGATTTGCACCCCTGGAAACGACTATTAGCCAATCAGAACAATTTTTATATTATAGTGATATGTGAATAAAGTAGCTATTTTGTATGAAATGTGCACCCAATTTTATGCAGTGAAAATCGTGAATAAATAATCTATTGTGGTGGCGTCTCTGCACGTTACAATATCTCAACAAATATTCTTTCAACTGAATACTGACATCTTTTGTCAAACATACATCTGATTAATTACTATTATTAGTGCAGGGCATTTTCAACGCAAAAGTAATTCTTTTATTCTTTTTAACAAGAAAATAATTACTTTATTATCCAAGCAGTTACGTCATTTATAATGTAAATAATAGGGTTTGCGTTCATTATACCAACAATCATAATCAGTGGAAGGTAAATTGATGTTCCACCTTGTGCCTCCGCTTTTCCAAGTATACAGTGAGTTCACTGAATACGAAATTTTTTTTAGCAATCTCCAGCACCTATTTTCAAAAATTCGAATCGAAAATGGTTCATTTTTGAGCTTCATATACTTTACATCTTGGGTGAAAGTGTGCCAAATTTCGCAAAGTGATCATGTACCTGTTCTTGCTAGTGGTAACTAACACGAACAGTTAAAATTAACAAATTTAAATAGCACCTAATTATTATTTGCAGAAGTTCAAAACTATCAATTTGGTGATTCGAGAATAAAAGCGAAATTACGATTTATTACATAATTGGGTAGCTAGTGGTGCGAAAATGACATTTTCTATTCAGTTGATTGCTAAATCCATTGCTATTAACAATTTACGTTGTACGGGTGATGTCATAAAGTGATAACAGAACCTTTCCAAATATCACTTTCGGTAAATGCCTATGGTCTTCTGTGAGAATACAATAGCAATTTATTATTAATGACGGATGAGCTCATTTTGTGCCTAACGCAACAAATACTGATGCCACTTTCACATATCTCATGCAATGGTGTCATTTTCGAGCAGGTTTTCCCTTTCTATGCACTTACGAGTTATGAACTGGAAGAGACGTCCATTAAATCAAGATAGAAAATAATTAGCGAACCAGAGATTCACGGGGTCAAGAAAACATGTTCGTCAATGAGGTTGTTAACCGTTACCCAAATTAATAATTAAGTCCTAGATTGGATGGAAAAAGCGAATATTATAAATTTTTGGAACAATTAATTAGTTTCACTTATATTTTTACATACGTTTCGATCTGTAACGTAAATTTAATTACGTCGTTTATTTATTTACAAATAATTAACAAAAAATTGATACCAGTCTTGAACTGAATGGATTTATAACAGTGAAATATTATTTCCACAATATACCTATAACAGCACGAACCATTATTACTCCGGCGTCTAATTAGAACTGAACTGAAACGCTTATATAGCAAACGCCCCCACTTTCTCGAAAGATCTTGAGCGCTTCCGACTATTCTAGAAGGTTCTCGAAGGAACACGTCATATTTCTTGGAAAGATTACGTCACAACCGCCTTCGTGGACTTCGATGACTAATCGTGCATGACGCCTCGATGTTTATCGAAATTTCGGGAATGTTCGCTGCACTGTCAGCCTCTTAAAACTGCTGCATCACGCAACCCGGACGACGGTTGATTTTTTTACGTTTCCGGTTTTCCACGGGGGCGAGTTTTTTAAGCGAGTATTCCAGGGCATAAACTTCCAACGCACATTTTGACGATTTTTTGGGGACCAAATATTCGAAAGCTGATTTTTTCAACATTTTCTGTAGATGCATTTCCTTTTCTGGACCAATGTTTCAAGGGCAATTTTGGGAGCCTACATTTTCCGTAGGTAAATTTTTCGGAAGAGAATTTTTCCATAGCGAATGTTCCCAGAACAATTTTCCTTATAGTTTTTGGGAGTCAAATATTCCAAGGACGACTTTATTCGGTAGGCGAATTTTTAGGACAGAAGTTTTCTAGGAAGAACCCTCCCGAAAATTGTTGGGGTGAAATTTTCACGCAAATATTACGAAAGGGAAATTCGTAAAGGCGATTATTCCCTGTATGGATTTACGGGTTGAATCTTGCACGGGAGCATTTGAAAAAGGCGATTTTTTCATAGCGAATTTGTCTCGTATATTTTTTTCGAAGGACAAGTCTTTAGGGGTCAAATATTCCAGGGGCGATTTTTAGAGCTTATCAAATTTTCTAGTATTCTAGCGAAGGTAGATTTTTACGAACCTTTTTTTATGAGAGCGATTTTTCCTAGCGAATTTTCAGGAGATTTCTAAGGGCGATTTTTTACAGGAATCGGCTATTTTCGAGAAACGAATTTCCCAGGGCAAACTTTGTGAGGACAAGTGTTTGTGGGTCAAATATTCCAACGGAGACTTTTTCGAGACTAAATTTTCTGGGGGCAAATTTTTCACGCAAGTATTCCAGGGAAAAGTTTTCCAAGAATGATTTTAACGTGTTTAAATTTTCAGGACAAGAATTTTTCCATAGCGAATTTTTCCAGGGCGAGACGTGTTTTTAATGTCAAATATTCCAAGGGCGATTCCAGGAAAGAATTTTCCGGTGCGCATATCCCCAAGGCGACTTTTTCAAGCCTACATTTTCCGGGAGCGAATTTTTCCATAGAGACTTTTCCCAGAAGACATTTTCCGGAAACAAGTCTTTGAAACTCAAACTCTATAGTGATTTTTTCGAGGCTACACTTTCAGGATGAGAATTTTTCTATAGGGAATATCTCCCGTGAGAAACTATTCCGGGAACATGCCTATAGGGATGAAGCATTCCAAGGGCGATTTTTGAAGCGCAACCAAATTTTCTGAAGCGAATTTTCTGGGGATTTATAAGCGCAATTTTTTCAGGAATCGATGATTTGTAGAAACGAATTTTTCTTAAGGAGAACAAGTACCATTTTTGGTGTACACCAAACATTCAAATTCAAATTAATTTACGTTAATTCCAACTTAATTTTAACTTTTGAAGTGACTTTATATCTTTTCTGTTCACATTTGATTAACGAGCGACAAAAATCGAATTCACAATGTTGGATTTTCTGTCCGTCCATCCGTCTGTGTACATGATAACTCTGCCCGCTTATGTGCATGATAACTCGCGAACGGTTTCGAATTTTCCAATTCTGTTTTCAGTAATAAGTGGACTAACTGAATAAATTTTGGTCATTTGGACTTTCTGTCCGTCTGTCTGTGCATATGAAACCTTCATCCGCTTGTGTACATGATAATTCGCGAACGGTTTCGAATTTTCCAATTCTGTTGTCGGTAATAAGTAATGGTCAAGGAACTAACTGATTACATTTTGGTCAATACCACCTTAGTTTAGGTAATTTAACGCCAATTTCTTTAAAATGACATATTTCACGTAAAATTGATCGAGCAAAGATTACCTGAAGGGACACTGCCATTAAACTCCCGAAAAATAAGTGTAAGCGAAAAAATCATCTCTTCGCTCCGGTACGGAAAGATTAAACAAGAATTACGCATTTACAACATTTCTAAAAGGGAAACACACCACTGAGATACAAATTCAAATAAAAGGAACAACCTCTGTGCTGCTTTCGTAAATACTCCCTCAGATTTACTTAATAAATTGAGTGTTTTCCTATACTAAAGTAGGAGTAAAATGAAATTCGTGCGAAAAGGTTGGAAACACCGAAACGTATCAGTAAAACAACTTTTGATATTCATTTTTGTTTCAGCTTGGTGGAGGACTGTGGGGTGGGGGTCTTGCCGTAACCAGCGGAACGGCCGGCGTGCTGGCGGCAGCGAGAAGTTGGTGCCCTTTGAGAAGAAGTGCCCAAAAGATTGCCCAAACCGTTTTTCTGGCACTAAGTCTCATTCTGGTCGCCGTCTCCCAATTGGTTGTCGTATTCGCAGCGACGGGACTGGCACGGGATATCAATCGCACCCTCGACAACGAGCTCGACGTGCAGGTAACGTACTTCCCCTTACGTAATTGGGCGCACGCCATTTTCCAACCCTTTCAGAATACCGAAGCGTTGCAAGCCAACGAAATCTCCACCGCAAACTATTTGGCGTTGATGTCCAACGCCGGGCTGCTGATTGTTTCTGGTGTTCAATTCGTGTGCGCCACAATGGCGTCGTATAAGTCTTCGAGGATGCTTTGTCCGTGTTTTAAAAGTTCCAGCGAGATGTCCGCCAAAACGCTACAGGTGGAGAACAAGCACGCGTTCATCGACTCCTGGCTGGGCAAGCACACCTATCCACCACCGTTGTACGTTGTGACCAGCACGCCAACCAGCACTGGTAAAAGGAGCAAGGTATGTGACACGGGTTTCAAAACGTGCATACGTAATTAAGTACCAATTTACATATGCAAGTAAAAGTTTGTAAACATCACTTTCTTCACGGTTCAATCACATCGTCACGCCGAAGTTTTTTTATTGTATTTTATGTCTCATTACATGTTTATTAATATGCCACTTACGCATTAAGTACCATCAGGCAAGTCGCACATTGAGTAAATTTTACACGGAACCACAATTTAATTAGGATAGCTTTTAAATTACTTTCTCCGCCTTAATTAATTGTGTTTTTTTGTGTATTAACAGGAGAGGATCCTTGTTTAATTCAAGAAAGTTTAGCAAGTCATCGATTTCTTTCGTTTCATATACCAATATGGTAGCATGTCAATTAACTTTCTTCGAAGCATCATTCTGACCTAAATATCTTTCGTAGATGCTTTATATTGTTGTAGTTATCTAACAGTTTTGTATCAATCGCCTTTTCCGCAAATTTTGACAAAGAAGTTCTATGATCACCAAGCGTTTTAAGCAATAACTGTAAATTTCAGCGGCGCGTGAAATTTATGTGGTTCAAAGGAAATTTTATGGTTAGATCTTCTATTTAAAAATTTGTCAACCATCACTAGAGATCTTTTTTTGTTTCATTTGTATATTAGTAGCTAGATTTCTGTTACACTAGCACAATACCTAAGATATCAGACAAAAGTGTTGGTAATACACTGGCTGATGCGTAACCTGAAAGACCAAGAACTTGAACTTGAACGGTTTGCAACGCAAAAATGTTCTTACCTAAAAATATACGTGGAGAACATCTTTGTTATAAAAAACATTGAGGGAGTATTCCAAGAAATAGAACTTTTCCAGTGAGAATCAAGGAAAATGAAGACTTGGCTCTTGGGAACAAAGATTTCTTCCAGTAAATTAAAGAAATTGACTTAATTAACATATAATTTACAAATAAACCACCAACCGTATAATTATTACATTTACAGGAACTGAATGAGTAAATTATTTTAAGATCGAAATAATTTTTGCGTCGCATTGTTTCCCGTGCACTACTTCCCATAGAAATTTATTCAGGTACCTTATGTCATAAGTGCTTTGGTTTAGGTTACGGTTACAGTTGTTGATTAGCAATGCGTTGTAGGTACGGATTACGATTTGCATTACCAATAATTACCTACCGACCTCGTTAGCTATTACGCGATAACACCAATTTCAAGTGTGTTAAATTCGTAAACGTGTAAATTACGCGGATCTAATTACGAGGATTGGGTTCCGAGCGAGCACTGAATTTTGTCTGGATAACTAGATCAGACCTATTTAGTCAGTGGAACGGATGCCCTCTTCGCGTTTCATCCTCAATTTTCAAAGTTACCTGGTGGTCTGGTCGCACGAAATAGAACAGGTCACTCAAAAGTATAATGAAATTCTATTCATTTCAACAAATAAACTAATAATTGTAAGAATTAAAACGTTGCAGTCAATTCTTGAATAATGTTTTGTTCGTTTACAATAATTACAGTTGCATGTATATCATAGTCATTCATTGCACCCCCATTATCACTTCAACATTCCTCCTCTCTCTTTTTTATCAACCCATATTTTTATCCTAGTCTTGTGGTTGTGATCCGATGACCGGTCAAAAGTCAAATCAGTACCATGTTTTCTGATCAATAATAAACACATACAACAGCTTCATGTTTTACATGTTTGTTAACAAAATAGTACACGTCAATACTTGGGCCTATTTCTTTTCTTTTGTAAATTATAGACAATTTTGATTGTCGTCACTACCCTCTTTCCAGAACTATTGAAAGTTTTTAATAAGCAAATCCGTCATGCTTCACTAGACCTGTTGGATAGTGCGATCAGGGGCGAAGGTATAGGGGGTACTACCGCCCTCCAAAAGGGAGTTAGCCGATTCGCAAGAATTGGAACTAATTTTTTGCTTGTTTTTTTGTTTAATTAGATGCGTCCCAATTTTAAGTTGGGATTTAATGGTAGTAATAACGTAACTTACGTATTGTATGGTTTAGTTCCAAGATTGGGCTACTAGTTCACAAGTTACAGCCCTTTGAATTTTCTTTCGAAATTGGTTTCTAGTCTATAATTTTGAATTGAGAAGTCTGAATCGAAAAAGTACCGAAGTTTTGGATTCTACGCACCCAAATTAATAAGAAAAAGTGTTTTCCCCGAGAACTGGTGGTCTGATTTTTTGGTAAAAAAAGGAAGGTTATACACTGCCTTTTTTTGAGCCCCGAAAAAAAAATTGTCTCAGATCGAGCCGCGAGAACAAAAAATTTTCTTATAGAATGTGGCCTGTAAAATCCATAATTTCAAATAGTTCCAAATGGGCTACTAATTCAAAAGTTACAGCCCTTTGAATTTTTTTCCAAAATTGGTTTCTAGTCTATAACTTTTGATTGAGAAGTCCGATCGAAAAAGTACGAAGTGATTTGGGTTCTACGCACCCAAATTATAAGAAAAAGTGGTTTCCCGAGAAACTTTTGGTGTAGTGGATTTTTGGTAAAAAGGAGGGTTATACACTGCTTTTTGAGCCCCGAAAAAAAAATTGTCTCAGATCGACCCGGAAAGAAAAAATTTCTCAACAGAATGTGGCCTGTAGAATCCATAATTTCAAACAGTTTCAAGATTGGGCTACTAGTTCAAAATTACAGCCTTTGAATTTTTTCGAAATTGGTTTCTAGTCTATAATTTTGATTGAGAAGTCTGATCGAAAAAGTACAATTGATTTGGATTCTGAAAAAAAAAATTGTCTCAGATCGACCGGAAAAAATTATCCCAATGAATGTGGCCTGTAGAATCCATAATTTAAACAATTCCAAGATTGGGCTACTAGTTCAAAAGTTACAGCCCTTTGAATTTTTTTTTCGAAATTGGTTTCTAGTCTATAACTTTTGATTGAGAAGTCTGATCGAAAAAGTACGAATTGATTTGGATTCTACGCACCCAAATTAATAAGAAAAAGTGTTTTCCCGAGAAATTTTGGTGTAGTGGATTTTTGGTAAAAAGGAAGGTTATACACTGCCTTTTTTTGAGCCCCGAAAAAAAATTGTCTCAGATCGACCCGGAAAAAAAATTTTCTTATAGAATGTGGCCTTTAGAATCGATAACTTCAAACAGTTCCAAGATTGGGCTACTAGTTCAAAAGTTACAGCCCTTTGAATTTTCTTTCGAAATTGGTTTCTAGTCTATAACTTTTGATTGAGAAGTCTGATCGAAAAAGTACGAATTGTTTTGGATTCTACGCACCAAATTAATAAGAAAAAGTGTTTTCCCGAGAAATTTTGGTGCAGTCGATTTTTGGTAAAAAAGGAAGGTTATACACTGCCTTTTTTTGAGCCCCGACAAAAAAATTGTCTCAGATCGACCCGGGAAAAAAATTTTCTATAGAATGTGGCCTGTAGAGTCCATAATTTTAAACAATTCCAAGATTGGGGTACTAGTTCAAAAGTTACAGCCCTTTGAATTTTTTTCGAAATTGGTTTCTAGTCTATATATTTTGATTGAGAAGTCTGATCGAAAAAGTACGAAGTGATTTGGATTCTACGCACCCAAATTAATAAGAAAAAGTGGTTTCCCGAGAAACTTTGGTGTAGTGGATTTTTGGTAAAAAAAGGAGGGTTATACACTGCTTTTTTGAGCCCCGAAAAAAAAATTGTCTCAGATCGACCCGGAAAAAAAATTTTCTAATAGAATGTGGCCTGTACAATCCATAATTTCAAACAGTTTCAAGATTGGGCTACTAGTTCAAAAGTTACAGCCTTTTGAATTTTGTTTCGAAATTGGTTTCTAGTCTATAACTTTTGATTGAGAAGTCTGATCGAAAAAGTACGAATTGATTTGGATTCTACGCACCCAAATTAATAAGAAAAAGTGTTTTCCCGAGAAATTTTGGTGTAGTCGAATTGTGGTAAAAAAGGAAGGTTATCCACATTATTATATGTGGACAAAATGTCAAATTTGGGAGAATCTCTTAGACCACACAGTACATGGACTGCTATTTGCAACTAAAATATGGTCAAGAACATCGCCTGAGTAGAGGTATATACAGGGTGCTTATTATGTATGGAATATAGTATATTATATCTCAGTAAATAACTACTGTATACAACATTTTTCTATACAAAATTTTTTTAAATTTTATTTCCCATTCAGTTGTTTTTTTTTTTCAAAAAACGAATGAGTAACGAAAAATAATTGCACTTTTTTAAATGGCAATGTACCCTTTCATTAGGCTCATTTGATAGGGGTTTTATTTCCCTTTTTGATGACGTAACATGTTAGTACCCTTACCCAAGAGCATTTTTCAAAAAAATTTAAAACTTTATAACATTAACTAGCTTTTTTATTATACCTGAATCACAATCTCCGTTTTAAACACTCAAATGCGTGCGAAAAAAGGCCTTTAAAACACACGTGCTTTAAAGTTGCTAAGTAACGATACTTCAAGTATGACTTTTGAAACTGTCAACTGAAATAAAAATCCTCTTGGTCGCTTTCTGTAAATGCAGAACATTTCTTTGGCTTGTAACTATCCTTTGGTTGAAGCTTTCACAAACGCGCGTAATTTAGGGTATGCTTCCAAATCTGTTCGACTTTTTAATCGCAGCATTGTTCGAAGTTTTGAATGAATGCACCAAAAGATAGAAGATTTAAATACCTTTGACATTTCCTTCATATAGGTATGCCAGCATTATCGACGCATTTAAGACTTTATTCGTATGTAACTTCCTATTCATCCATGGAAACAACTTTTCATATTCTTTATAATAGGCTTTACTGGATTTGGATTTTACACCTACCAACGTTTGTTTAGATTTTACAACAAGCCATTTAATGGATGGTGTATTATCTTTTTCAACGGAAATCGTTTAATTCACAAAGACGGTAATTTTTTATAAGCAAACGTCAAGTGACATTTCCATGGCAATCGTGAAATTACGAACACCCAGCCCACTTAATTAGACATTTATTCGAGTATAACGTCA